TCCTGCTCTATTAAGCGCAACATTGCTTTCTTAACACAAGATAATAAACATCCAAACACTAAATATACTACTATTATTAATATCAAGAGGGATAGACCCTTTTCAATCAACACTTTCAGCCACCCTTTTATGCCAAACTGACTGAGCCAATCCCCAATGGGATCATCTGTTTCTTTAAGGTTATGCAAATTGTCCTTTAACACAACCAGTTTTCTCTGAATTGATTCAGAGTGGTCTGAAAAGTTCATGCAACACATACCTTCAAAGTCCTCACAGCCATGTCCCTGTGCAAGTAACAAAAAGTCAATGGTGGCACGGTTCTGAAGGACAGCGTGATTAACACTGCTTACATCCTGTGATAATTCATCTAAAATTTGACAAGTGGTATTTAACTCATCCTTGGCCCAACATGCCAGTTTTTTAAGGGTGGTCATGGCTTTAGCGGCTGAGGCTCCTGGGAGAAAAAGGGAGGCAAAAACTATTTGTGTCCTTGTCCAGGATTCTGGGTCTCCTATATCCTTACAATCTAACTCGTGGATACTACTTTTACTTCGGTTTGTATTCTCTTTCCAATGTAAAAGTGATGTTAAATTGGGGTGAAACAATGCTAACTTCCCGAGATAACATGGTCCTCCATGAGGACTTGCAGGTACACCATTCCAGGCCCTATCCCCACATATCAAAAAGATACCTGGTGGTAGTTTTTGGGCTGGTATTCCAGTCTGGTTGCACCGAGTATAGGTTTCCATCGAGACATCCTCTATCTTGAGGCTAGACTCTAAAGTTGCCCACCCTTTCCTGTTTTGATTTAACTGAGAAAGACTGGGAGGTTCAAACGTGACCCATCCAGATCGATTTCTCACAGCTGTGGCATTAAGGCACCCTAATAGATCTAACTCCTCTGGAGGGGATGTTAAGGTTACATTTAAATTTTCTATAATGCGTGCCTGCCACCCTCCATCCCGCTGCGACAAAGTCAGACCTGTCATCAGAGTTGCACTGGCTGTTGCAAAATTCAATATTGATACATTTTCAACATATCCCATAAATTCTCCGGGATGTCACACTGGGGTTCCAATTAAACATGTATGAAAGGGGTCCCCAGGGGTGGCTAAATTTAGGCATATAGAGTTCTGGCCCGTTATATTTGCCAGAGTGACCCACACATTAGCTCTAAGAGAAATTCTACTCAGGAGCCCACTTACACTTTCTCCCCATGCAAACCATAGTCCTGCCCAGAACCATAACACTGTCTCCTGCGTCATTCCACCGCTTTCGGCTTCTTGCTTTTATTCAGAAGAGACAGGTGCTTTCAGTCGTTCTTTAGGTGTTGGCATTGGGCGCAGCTCGTGTGAAGCGGCTGGGAACCCAAGTGGGTCCGTGCTCTGTGGAAACACACATATAACCTCTGCCATTATATAGAACCGGGCTAGGGCCCTCCCAGATACCCTTCTTAGGGTTCTTATAGTATACTTTAAGACCAGGAATAACATTAGGTGTATCCTTTGTGCTTGTCAGATGGTGGAGTACTTCTGGTGGTTCTTCTGTGTCTGGGGCTAGGCATAAATAATTCAATGTGAATAGGACTTTAGATAACCGAATTGACTGATCTGTAATATCCGCTTCCTGCTGCCTTTTCAAATACTCCTTTAACGTTCTATTCACCCTTTCTACTATTGCCTGTCCAGTCGGTGAATGAGGAATACCTGTTATGTGTTGCACTCCCCATTTTTGTAAAAATCTTCGGATACGTTGACTGACATACGCAGGGCCATTGTCTGTTTTTATTTGCTTCGATACTCCCATCACCGCAAAGCAGGATGTTAAGTGACGCTCAACATGAATGGCCCTTTCCCCTGCCTGTGCTGTTGCCCAAATGAATTTGGAGTAGGTATCAATGGTGACATGTACATATTTCTGTCTGCTGAATTCTGGGACATGGGTCACATCCGTCTGCCAAATTTGTAATGCTTTCAATCCTTTGGGATTGATGCCCAGGCCCAAACCGGGGCCATGGTTACTACATTGTGGACACGCGCGAGTTATCCCTTTTGCGTCTGAGAGGGGTATCTTATATTGTTTGTGCAACGCTTTGGCATTCTGATGGAATGTTGCGTGACCATTCCTAGCTTGTTCAAATGAGATACATGGAGGAGAATGCATCACGCAACTAACTGCGTTATCCGCTCTCTGGTTGCCCTCTCCCAATCCTTCATTGAACATATGACTCCGTATGTGGATAATACAATACTGGTGGCATCATTGGACTAATGTGTGTCGCAACTGCAGAAACAAAGAGCCTAATCTCTCATTATTTGTACGTCGCAGGAGAGCGTCCTCTATGAGTTGTATGATTCCTATGACGTACAATGAATCTGATACCACATTGAGTGGCTCACAATTCCAGTTCTGAAAAGCCCAACATACAGCCTCAATTCTAACACTTGTAAACTATCTCCTTTTTCTCCTTGCATGACATATTGTTTCCATTCCAACCCCTCTTGCCATATACATGATGCTCTGCGAGTTTTTGCCCTGCATCTGTAAACACAGTCTTGCCTTGGATGGGGGTTTTTGAGCACAGAGGCTTTTTTATCCATATACTGTTAGAAGACACCATTGTGGACCTTTCGGACGATTATTATGTATTATTCCTGTATAGCCTAATAAAGCTTCTTGAAGAGCCTCATTGTGCCGTAACTGCCAGTCCAAGTTTTCTGTCCATATAGGAACACTGATGTCTGCCGATTCTGAACCACTGATCACTACTGCCCTCTGCCGTCCCTTTTTTATTGCAACAGCAACAGCATCCGTTCGAGTCAAAATTCGAGTTTTTGGCTGTGTTGATAAGAATACCCATTCCAGAAGTCGTGCACTCAAAGTGACAGCGGCAAATTTACCATTACCATCGGAGACATCGAGGATCCCTCCCCTGTGTTCCCCCGTTTTCTTTTGCCACTGCAAGATGACTGCAAAACGACCATCACTGACATTAACAATCCATAGAGAGAGCGGCACGTCAGCAAGATGACGAGCACACCAGTTCTGTTGGATCTTTTGACTTATTGATTGGAGTGCCCTTTTCTGCTCGCCAGAACATGTGTGGGAATCATGAGCATCCATACCATGCAACCAGGGCAGGAACGGATGCAAATCAGTATTGTTAATCCCAACAATATTACGAACCCATTGCAAATCGCCGAGCAGTTTCTGGGCATCCTTTAGAGTATTTATATTGCTCTGTATTTCTAACTTTTGAGGTTGGATTGTTGCGTCAGTGATGGTCCAACCCAAATATTTCCAAGGAGCAGAACGCTGAACCTTTTCTGGGGCAATTACCAGCCCGTTTTGCTCCAAACAGCACTGTATCCAACGCAAATTCTCATTTGAAAATTGATATTGCGTGGCAATTAAAATGTCATCCATATAATGGTAAATGAGGGTGGAAGGGAATTTTTCCCATACTGGATGTAAAGCCCAGTCTACATACAATTGGTTGGTGAATTTTTCATGCCTTGGGGTAGAACCACCCATTCAAATCATTGATTGGGTGCAGAATGATTAATGGCAGGAGGAGCAAATGCAAAACGCTGAGTATCATTTCTATGTAAAGGGATAGTAAAGAAACAATCCTTTAAGTCTCTTACAACGATGGACCACCCTTCAGGTATCATTGTGGGGGTTGGGAGCCCTGGCTGTAAGGCTCCCATAGCTTGCATCTGATCATTTACTTTCCTCAAATTATGTAACAGTCGCCATTTTCCTGATTTTTTCGGTATTATAAATATAGGAGTATTCCAGGGGCTTACTGAGGGCTGGATGTGTCCTGCAGTTAGCTGCTCCTGTACTAATTGATGCGAAATCTGCAGCCGCTCTCCTGTTAACGGCCACTGTTCTACCCATACTGGGTCATCTGTTAACCAGGTGATTGGTTGTATAGGGGGCTGCTTTTCAGTGGCTGTTAGGATAAATTTTGGTTTGTGGTGAGCACAAGCCCAAGTTGAGATAACACATCTCGTCCCACTAGCCCCTGTAAGCTAGTCGGCAATGATGTCACGTATGGATGAAACAACTATCTTTTGGCCATCTTCAAAATTGAATACAATAGGGTCCTTACTCATCAGGGGTGACTGCATTCCTCCTACTCCCATAATCAAGGTGGTAGGAGTCACTAAAGGTCAAGTACCTGGCCAACAGGAGCAACTAACAATCGTCACATCTGCCCCAGTATCAAAAAGCATTTGTGCCCGGATTTGGTCATTTCCCTTTTGCAAAACAAGTCGTTGTTGTGGTCGTTGATTCAGACCAAGTGTTAGGAATACATCATACCCAGTTGATCCAAAACCTGCATTCCCCTGAGTCTTAGGGAGGATTTCTGAGCGTGAAGGGTGTTTTGACTCTAATGCAACAATTTGAGCAATTTTACTGTCTTTTGGTATAGTTACCAGAGGTTGCAGAGCATATGCCATAATTTGAATTTGACCTGTGTAATCCGCATCAATGACACCAGGGAGCACAACAACACCCTGCTTTCCCGTGGACCATCGACCAATTAATAACCCACCCACTGGGGAATCTCTAGAAAACAAAGGTCCATATGCTGTGGTTGGTATAAGGGTCACGACAGAGCTGAGCAATGTGGTTTCTACTGCTGTTGCCACATCCACTCCGAGGCTCCCTCGAGTTTCTGGTTGGTGGTTGAGTAAGAAGTCTGGTGAGTCGGGACCTGAACTTGTGTCGTAGCGTGAGATCCCTTCGCACTGTGTTTGCCATTTCCCGATCTTTTACATGCCAGTGTTTCATGAGTATCCGAATTACAGGATTTGCACCAAACAGGCTTGATGCAGCCACGTTTCCAGTGGCCATCTTCACCACATCGGTAACAAGTACCCACGTTCCGATTAGGCTTGGCTGGGGGCCTTTTTGATTGATCTCCAGAACCTTTTAGGTCTGCAGCCATCTCTGTGAGAGGTTGGAGAAATATTTCCTTCATGGCTGCCGAGAAAGCTGCTGCTTGACTCATCTGCTCTGCTTGAGATGTCAATAAAAGCATGTCATCTACTCCTGCCCCATGTGGAAGCATAGCTAAAAATCTTTTGGTACCAGCATTACTATTGTCAAAAGCTAGGATACTGTTCTTGTAATCCTTGGGTAAGTTCTGGAGCATCTCTTAACGCTGCTGAAAGTCTATCAATAAATTGGTTAAACGGCTCCATAGCTCCTTGTCGCATATGGTGGGGCCTTTTTCATATCAGGAACAGCTAATAATGCGTGATGAGCCAAAGACTGTGATTGCTGATGTACCGGTAATGGCATTTGTAGCTGAGCGGCTGTCGTCAGGAATTGTCCTTCGCCAATTAATGTCTGTGCTGTTACTCCATACATAGGGTCTCCTTGTTGTCGTGGCATGTTTGTTTCTGCCACAGCCAATCTCTTCCACTCTCTTTCCCATAATAGGCATTGTGAGGGGGAAAGTAGGAGAGAAGCAATCTGCTTGCTATCATTGGGGCACAATACAACAGCTGTAAATATAAACTGTATAATATTCCTAGCGGCTTCAGACCATACACCGTAATTGGTGACTGTCTGTTTTGCCTGTTGAAGAGTCTTCCAATCATGTGGTTCCCAATTTGTAGTCCCATTGGTGACCTGTACAGGAAAAGCAATCTCCCCTGCTGGGTGCCAGTCTCCCTCTATTAGGGCATCGCGAACAACTCCACTCCATTGAGATCGGATCAGAGGGGGAGGTGGTTCTGGTGAATGGGGATATGGTGGGGCTGATGGGACTGTCCCTTTCTCAGTTTTGATTTGCAAGTCTTGTAATTTTTTCTCGAATTCTTGGGTTTTTAATAACATGCTAGGGCATGTTCCCTGTGTTCCTGTATCAGGGGCCTCCACCTCACCGTCCTCTGTGTCTGAGGCATCTGTATAGGACGGTGCATTTTCAGGAGGCGGTCGAGACGGATCTGACCGACCTATGTCTCCTCCTTGCTGGGAGGGACCAGATGGCTCCACCTCCGGTGGTGGGACTGATGGGACTTCCTCTTTTACATCAGTCTGCTCTGAGGGTGGTGAGGGAGCAACTTCCGCCTTTTTCTCTCCTTTGCCTATTCACTCAGCTGCCACCTGCACAGTATTAAATACTGGTCCAGCGGAGGTCATTCCTTTTATTGCATGCAGCTGGTTAAGGCCAAAGGAAGTCTCTACCTTTGAAGGTCGAATCGGTGACTCTACTGACTTCGGTGAGGCAGGTATTGTACCAATAGCCTCTATAGCCGCAGCAGCAACCTTTTTTTCGGCCTGCAATTGTCTTAATGCATTTATAATCTTTTACCACACTATACCTCTCCGTTGAGCTTCTTTCCCCTGGCTACCACCACCGAGTGTCTCGTCCCATAGCAACTCCCCTACTTTACTCTATTCCTGCTCGCTGAATATCAACGAAGCATCGCTCATTCTTTCCATTTTTTTTTGCCTACTTCACTAAGTCATGGACATCTCCTTCTTTTACTTTTTCACCTCTCTTAGAGAGCATACTAAGAAGCAGTCTTATTGCCACGTCAAGTTCCATCGCGGTCTTACCTCCTGGCAAGGGTCAGTCGGCCAGCTGACTCAGTTGCTCGCGTCTCCTTTTTGCAGCAACTCACTTGCTCACCGCTCTCCGGCTCCCAAATCAAAAGTTCATTCAATGCTGCGGAGTCTTTGATCCGTATTTAAATATCTGACTTCAGAGGCTATATAGCGTCCTAGTCAATCTGAGGGTCCCTGTTCAGGGCGCCAGATGAAGAGGGTCCCAATACGGAGAGTGGCCCGAGTAACGACAATCACACCGATGCGGCTACATGTCATTCCACTTTATTGCCCGAATTGCTTGGTTATATCCTTTGCAAAGCAAGCACCCGCTGTTCACGCGCCCCATACCCCTTGATTATTGGTCATAAGCAACTTATCACACACCTGAAGGGAATCTGTGTTAGGCAAGCATCTTGCTGTTTGCTGCATATTTGTGTTTAGCTTAGCCAGATACATAGCTGGGAAAATTCCTCATTAACAGATACAGTTCATCACAACACAGCCCTTCAAGGTCATTCTCATAACACAGCTGTTGTTAGCAGTCTGATCTCAGGCCTGGATTGTCCAAACCTTCCAAGGGAATTCTGTGTCCTTGCTCTTGTAGAAATTCCTCTACATGTGTCCCCTCCACTTCTGCTCCTCCCAGCAGCTGATGCCCTTTCTTTAACATGTTTACACAGCAGCCCTCTGTGTTCCTCCAACAACTGAAGTTTTTGGTCATGACAGGTTGCTCACAGCAGCTTCAGAGCTGGCTAGAAGTGGCTGTGATCAGCCCAGGGCTGTTCATGGACATCTCCTACAAAGAGTCCCCTGCATCCTCCTGCTGCCAAAACCTTCCCAGCTATGCTCATGCACCTCTCTTCAAGATGTTAATCATTTTAGCCAAAAATCTACACTATTTCAGCTATTAGCTAAGGAAGAACTCCCGTGGTCTTTGTCATTATAAACAATGGGTGCTTTCATGTTTTAAATGGCAGTGCAGCAAAGGAAGATGTCTAGATGTGGAGATCAGAAACTGTGATGTAAACAGGCACTGATCTCCACCATACACCACCACAAGATATGTGTTTTCCCCTCCATGGTCTGAGGGCCTGGAACAGAAAAGGGTTTTTTTGATCCAAGGTCCCATGTTAGGTTTTATAGGTACTTATAAATGTTGCATTTTATGTCCATGAGTTTCTACTAAGTGTTCTCTGTGTTTGTGCCTTGGCTTGACATGTCTTGTCAAGAGAAAGACAGGTTGGAAAAGGCTGAAGACATTTCAAGATACTCTACAGATAACATTAGCACTTCAAGTATTAAAGCCTCTTCTCTCTTACCAGTTCACATTTTAATAAAACATTTGCAAAGTGCAAGCCAGCTATTTGAAGACACTTCTGAGAGATGCTATTTTGCAGCCTTTGAAAAGCTATCCAAAATATTTTGGTTTTCCTGGACTCTGCTTTATTGAGGAGTTCTATTTAAATTTTGGGGCTCATTTATTTATTTATGTATATTGGGAGAGGGGTTAGAGATGAGTGAATGAAAGAAAAACTTTTCACTATTATTGAAAGAATATGATAAAAAGAAGATAAATTCTGTGTTATTGAAAAAGAGCTATAGGGAGAATTGACACCCAGGCAGTTTATATTCACATATAATATTAGTAAATCACTAAGATGATAAAAGTGTCACTGCTAGGCTTTTCTACAGACATGAAAAACGAGACAGATCAGTTGAATCTCCCAGAGGAGGCCAAAAAAATCCTTGAAGAAAACAATTCATATTGTAATTATTGAAGAACAAATGAAGAGGGGAGTTAGTTAGTTACTAACTAGGTTAGCTAGTCCAGTGAAATCATTCACATCAGTTCAAAGCTCCTCTGTCATCATCATCTCTTCCTCCTCCTTTTTCTACTGGTCCTGCTCCAGCTCCCACCCTTTTCCATCCTGCATCCCACAACCCCTCCTAGCCCACAGTGGCCATCCTGCCCCCCTTGCTCTGCCTTCCCTCTTCTCCATCATCTCTTCTTGCTCTCCTTTACTTAGGCACCAGGTAAAGGAATGGAGCGACTGAGAGCTATAGGATCTCCAGGGAGTTGGATCTGCTGTTGGAGGAGCCTGAGGTTGGGGGTGCTTTCCTCCGTCTTCAGGGTATGTGAGGTAGCTTTGGATCCAATCCTGGGAATTGAACTATAAAGAAAACCTGTAAAGTGCTGCAAACTGAGTAGATACTGCAATAGAAGTGTGTTAAGGATGGGGAAAGTGATGTTCTAGGGACAGCTGAGGGAAGTGCTGCATCCTGTGCAATGGTCTCCTTGGAGCAGTTTTGCAATGACGTATGATAATATGAATCTTTCCAAAAATATTTGGGAGACCAAACATATCTGTGTCCTTAAAAAAGAAAATGTTCCTTATCTATGAATCAGAGGAGATCTGGAGGTCAGAACTGGAAAAACATTTGCTTAAAGAAGCTAAAATGTGTTATAATCAAGAGAAAAAATAAATGGGTATTTAAAAAGCATAATATGGAAATTATACTTTCTTTGTAAAGTGCTTTGAGATCAGTAGGTAAGATCTGTGTACATAGCCACTATATTATGTTCAACTCTAAAACACACCTTTTGGAACAAGCTGTCAGAGCTGCTGTCATGTTATCAATAATTGTTCTTGCACTACTTACTCCCAAGAGGAAAATAGGCAGAGTCAAGTTCCCCTTAAAATTAATTATCATAAACCTTAAAATAAAAAGTCAGAGTCTGGTTATGAAACCACTTACTGTTCAGAATGAAGACTGAAGTTCATGCAGTTGCAAATGGGAACTGCAGAAGGCTTTAGATATTGAAGGAAAAAAGTGAATGATGATGAACACAGTCTGCTTTAAAAAAATCAGGATACATCTATCCATAAGTGAAAAAAAGTAATATATACGTGGACAGAGTAAAATTCAAATAGTAAAAAAACCACTCAACATGGAAGAGTCAGACCTAGGATGAATATTTACTTGTATAGGGGAGAAGTCTTGTATAGACTTGACAAATTAGCAGTTTCATTCTTCTGCAAATGTTGAATTGGTTTTGTAGGATTTTGAGTTTTCATCTAACCTGGCATTTAATATCCCAAGAGAGGGGACTTTAATAATTCATTTTCAGAGATTTCTATAGACTGATAGACTTAATTTCAATTAAATGTTATTTAGACTTTTTTCTGCACTCACTTCAAGTGATTCAGAATTACTTGGTTTCTGTATTAGTTTATGTAACTTGGGACTCCCTATTTTATACTTTTGCTTCAATAGAAACATCATGAATAAGACAAAACCAGAAGAAGTCTGATTCCAATTGCCCAACCAGTGATATTACTGAAGTGTGATAGAAGTTTCATACAAAGATACCAAGCACAGAAGAGAAGACACTGTGCACATGGGAAAGAGAAATAGATCTGTGGCTCAAAATGAGCTATGGATATAGACCCGCTCAACTGGGCTCAGAGTTGACTTTTTTCAATGCTTGGCTTAAATCCTGCAGATTAGAAGCATTTTCATATTAAGGCTAAGATAAGATGTAAGAACGTATCCCTACTTTTGTGCAAAATCCATTTCTGTTTCCTCTGACCACTCTGGGGCTTGGGCATGAATACATGTTTGCAGAGGTTTCCTTGTACTTCTCAGGATATCAAGAATGAGATGGGAGAGACTCCTGCATAGTTCCACAGACCATAACGGTATGATCTTGGTTACTGTCGTGACACCACTATATTTCCAGATGAGACAGGAAGCACAGAAATTAAGTTCTATAAGAGTTATTCTAGTCACTATTTCTTCTTCAATGATTTTTTAAATTTTTTTTTGGTGTCACCAATCTATAAGATTCAGATCTCAGACGTGGAACGGCTAGGTCTCTTAATCAGAGAATGATTTTATTGTATAAAATAAGTATTGCTACCAAACTAATCTCATTTTCAATCATTTCGCCTCATTCCCTGAAGCATTTCCACACCCACATCCTACACCTACCTTTTGTTCAGCACCAATGCAAGAAGAATGGAATTTAAAAGCTAATTTTCTTTATATTATGCAATAGAATAGCA